AAAATGTTCTCACTGGCTGTTTTGTATTACATGAACGTACAACTTGTCACATACCTTCAATAAAGTTCTTTGTTGTCATCCTGTATCAACATTCAACAGTATATCTGTGTTCTACACTTTGGAGTATCAACTCTGAGAAACACCGGAAGAAGTAACTAATAGAAACCGGATCCTTTAGGCAACAACAGTTCTATAACAAAACCGGATCAGGGCATCGGAGAGAACCGAAAATATTGTGTTAACAAATAATAATGTATGGTTACTGGGAAACCAGAAAATACCGAGTGTTCATTGTTTTCAAATCCTTAAAACAAAAGGTTATCACTGACTTTGTTGTATTACATGTCACATACCTTCATTAAAGTTTTTGTTGTAATCTTATATCAAAGATTAAACAATATTATTCAAAAATAGAAATCGGAGTATCAAATATGAAAACATCGAAGGCTGTATTGTATTACATGTAAGTACTACTTGTCACATACCTTCAATAAAGATTTTTGTTGTCGTCATATGTCGACATTCAACTGTATGTATATTGCTTTACACTTCAGAGTATCGGTTCTAAGAAACACCAGAAGAATTAAGTACTGTAACTGAATCCAGACTTTTCCAACCACAACAGTTCTATAACAGACCCGGAAGTTGGCGTTAAATCTATAGTTATTGACGTATAGTTTTTAAGTTCTGCTCCGAAAAACGACACCTACCTCCACCTTTTGAAATTGTTTCCATGGAAATCGAGAAAATATACAAACCAAAAATCTGCAAACAGTAACAGGCACAACTTCAGGACCTGTTTGATATAGAGGTCTTGTTCAAAGATATTGAATGGTATTCGACTTATGCTCCAGAAACAAAATGATTACGGATGGACAGACAGATATCAACTATATCCCCCAACATTATATGCCAGGGGCAAAACAAAAGGTACAGATTATGTTGTTTTCGTTTCGCTTCTCTTCATTTGCATCTCCAGTATTTTGATGGCATTTACCGTAAGATCAAGTCCCAGTAGGAGATTGGTAAGCAGTTTTGTAAGAAATGAGAATCTTGTTTTCTTTACTCAAAGTGGGGAAGGAAATGCACAGTTATAAGTTGTCATGGGATGTTAGAACAAAGGACTCCTCACAAAACTAGCACAAAATGGAGTAGAAGGGAACATGGCAAACTTCATAGACAGCTTCCTGCAAGACAGGTCACTATCAGTTAAAAGAACAATCAATCTGATCCTATGGCACTGGACAATGGCACGCCACAAGGCAGCATTATAAGCCCAACCCTGTTAACATCATGATCAATGTGAGATAGACACAATTTTATGGATAACAACTTCTTTAATACTGTCACAGTCACAGTATTTTTCACAGTATTAAAGAAGTTGTTATCCATAAAATTGTGTCTACCTTGTCATCCGTCAACTTCTAAGTAATGCCTATCAAACAAAATGATCAATGATCTTTTTGATCATGTCAACAATATGGGATATTTCACAAATCAGAAAAAACACCAGTCAGCCCTGGATGGTGTAGATCAATGGTGCAATAAATGGTGATTCACCCTTTCAAGTGAAAAAACTGTTGGAGTTCTATTCAAACGCCGGGGGAAAGATGCTATGATACCCCGTGTCTCCATAAAAGGCAAACCAATTAAATTTTAAAAATCGACAATATTTCTTGGGGTGATCCTTGATCAACACCTCACTAGGTGCAAACATATAGAATATGTGTAAAACAGATGTCAAAAAGACCTAACGTATTACGGGCAATTTCAGGCATATCTTGGTCACATCGAGGGACACTCAGCTGGACCGCTACAAATCTCTTATCAGATCAAAATTGACTATGGTTGTGAGGCCTTTCACTCAGCATCAAATACTGTCTTGAGCCGCCTAGACAGAATACAATACAAAACCCCAATGCTGGCCACAGGCGCAGCAACAGGCACCTCACTAGAAGTACTACAAGTAGAAACTGGAGAACTACCATTGAAACTAAGAAGAGAGCAGCCAATATTATCGTTCTGGGGACGAACATCAAACCCTTTGGTTAAAAGATATGGCAAGACAAAAACACTCGAGATGAAGCCCTAGCTAAAAAAAATCCCTCACTAAAGCCATCTGGGATATTAGTAAGTGAACTCATCCGAAGTCACAATTGTGATGACATTCAGCCTCCATAAAGTCACTACAAAGGGTTACACCCTCCCTGGACTTTAAAAACTCCCAAAGTTGACACTGCTTTAACATCAGAAGTCACTAAAAAAGAAAACCCAACCCTTCTACGATCAGTAGCTATCACTAAAATTCAAACTACCTGGGACAGCTGGGCGGGCCACTGATGGATCCAAGAATCCTATCAACAACAGTGCTGGTTACGGGATCCATGTCCACAGCTCCGGGCAAGGTTTAAACAAGAATTACAGTTAGATGCGCTATCTGTCATAGATCTCCTAAAGCCAAGAGATAAAATAGCGAAGGCCAAACTAACTCTATTTCTGACAGATGGACAGCTACTCGAACGTATGTAAACAGAGCAGCCGAGGATAAACATGAAATCATATCAATATAAGAAAATAGAAATCATATCAATACAAAAACAGAAATTATGTGAATACCAAACTCACAATAGATATGTGTACCCAACTCACACACAGGAGTCCCAAAGAGGGACAGGTCAGCTGAAATTGCTTAGGCAGAAGGCGACCTCTTAAACACTTAAAGCAACAACAAGTACCATGGCAAATCCAGAGAAAGTTGAATACCTCACGTGTACCACAGTGGGTCAGTACCAAGTTAGTTCAGATGGTTCACAGTGGGTCAGTACCAAATTAGTTCAGATGGTTCACAGTGGGTCAGTACCAAGTTAGTTCAGATGGTTCACATTGGGTCAGTACCAAGTTAGTTCAGATGGTTCACAGTGGGTCAGTACCAAGTTAGTTCAGATGGTTCACAGTGGGTCAGTACCAAGTTAGTTCAGATGGTTCACATTGGGTCAGTACCAAGTTAGTTCAGATGGTTCACAGTGGGTCAGTACCAAGTTAGTTCAGATGGTTCACAGTGGGTTGGTACCATGTCAGCTCAGATGGTTCACAGTGGGTCAGTACCAAGTTAGTTCAGATGGTTCACAGTGGGTCAGTACCAAGTTAGTTCAGATGGTTCACAGTGGGTCAGTACCAAGTTAGTTCAGATGGTTCACAGTGGGTCAATACAAAGTTAGTTCAGATGGTTCACAGTGGGTCGGTACTGTAATAGTTTCTGTCCATGGCAGAACACAAGTTTTCAGATTCAACTTTTAATAAACGTGAGCAACATGGCGTCATCTTCTTGTGAGAGATGATAACCTACTAAAATCGTAACTCGTCCAGAAACGAACCAGATATAAATCTATGATCTAAAACGAAATAGGATCATATCACATCCCCTTTCTTTTGAATAGAAGGAACTGTGATAGTTACTTTTATAAAGAAATAATTTGAAGCACACTTATGTGTTGCACTATCATCAGATAATTGACCTATTGTTACTGAAGCAAATTATCCTACATGTAAAATGCTACTTCCACAATTTAAATGATACCTGGAAATAATACTGAAATTCTTGAATACTTGTTCAACACAAACTCATGAATCTAGCAGCAAATCCTTGCCTTAACTCATAGTTAAATTCTTCCACACAGTCAACACTTTAAAGATAAACTGAGTTTTAACTCCTCCAACATTATAATAAAAATCACTGATCATTTAGTATTCTGAACTGTTGAAACTATGAAATCAATAGTTAAAAGTCAATATTGTTCCAGGAATCTGTCTGGTCTCTTGACCATTCTCCCACTCCTGGTCCTGTACTGTCCATCAATGTTTCTAGCGGTCAGATCATTACCGCTATTTGCATGCTGACTGTCATCATCAGATATACTTGACCGGGGAGTCTCATCAATGACACTGGGATCATCCAGCGCAAATCTCACTTTTCTGGGCGTTCAGCATCTCTCGCAAATGGTGTCTGTTTCGTCTTAACACCTTGCCATTTAGGGTTTCCACCAAATAGGATCTGGGCTCAATACACTTAGCTGATATCCTACCAGGTACCCATCTTCCGCTGTCTTGATCTTGAGTCAAAACTCTCTGACCTATATTCAAAGCAGGTAAGTCTTTCACCCCTTTTCTGTCGTGATAATATTTCTGCGACTGTTGTCTGTCCTGAAGTCTATTCATGATTGTATCCTTCTGCGGGTGATTATTTGCAATTAATACAGGTAAGTTACCTTGCAACTTACGACCAAAAGTTCGCCTGGTGATGGAATGGTACTGTCAATCGGGGTTGTTCTGAGACTCAGCAATGCTAGATCTGGATCAGTTCTAGACTGCTTCGCTTTGGTAAGACACTGCTTTACAGTTTGCACTGCTCTCTCTACGAATCCATTACTTCGTGGATATCGTGGACTAGAAGTTACATGATCGAAACACCACTTATCAGCGAAATGTCTAAATTCTTCACAGTCAAACTGTCTACTGTTATCACTGATAACTTTGTTGGGTATCCCCTGTTCGCTAAACAGTTGCTTGCAGTGATCTATGACAGCCCTACTTGTACACTGTCCATGAATTCTGCGTACAAAGAATGATTTGGAGTAGTAGTCAGTTATCAAAAGATTTTCACATCCATCGAAGTGAAACAAATCCATTGCTACTGTGTGCCATGGTCTCTGTGGAATATCATGGGGTTGCAATGTTTCATTTTATTGCGACTTTTGGTTTTCTTGACAAATATTACAATTTGCCAATAGTTCTTCAATCTCCTTGTTGATACCTGGCCAGTGTATGCACGATTTAGCACCAAGTTGGCATTTTGTAACACCTTGATGTCCAATGCGAAGTTGTTGAAGCGCCTCACGCCTCATCGCACTAGGTATCATTATCCTGTCGCCTTTCAGTAACAGCCCATCCTCCACAGACAGTTCATGACGACAAGACCAAAATGGGCGAACGATTTTTCGCACTTGCTTTGGATCTTCTGGCCACCCTGATACAATAATGTTCTTTAATGAACTGAATGTCTCATCATTTTCAGTTTCCTTGCGGATCATCTGAAGCTTTTCACTTGAGAACCGAACTTGGTGAATGGTTTTGTCGATACTGATAGTTGGACTTGGAGCTGGGTTTTGCCTAAACAGCATGTCTGAAAGAATCATTTCCTTCCCAGGTTTGTATCTAATCTCGAAGTCGTATTGCTGAAGTTGTAGCATCATTCTCTGGAGTCGAGGAGGAGTGCTGGCTAGATTCTTGTGCTGAATGTTCTCTAGAGGTTTATGATCCGATTCAACTGTGAAGTGACTGCCAAACACATATGTATAAAAACCTCTTGCATCCAAACACCACTGCAAGGAGTTCACGCTCGATATTAGCATATCACTTTTCTGTGTCTGTGAGTGCCTTACTGGCATAAGCAACTGGGTATCCATCCTGCATGATCACAGCACCTAGACCTTTCATTGATGCATCAACTTGCACGACTGTTGGCTTCCTTGGAACAAAGTATTTCAGAGTACCATCAAGACAGATCATAGTCTTCTGCTTGTCAAATGCTGCTTGATGTGATTCTGTCCATTGCCAAACACTGTCCTTGTGGGTCAGCATCCTTAATGGTTCCGTGAAGTCAGCCATGTTGAATGTATGAATGATGACATATACTGTATCATCCCCAGGAACCGTTGCAGTTCAACAGTGTTCGCAGGTGGAGGTAGATTGTGAATTTCCTGAACTATTTCTGGATCAGGATGTACACCTTGAGCAGCATAATAGTTTCCAAAGAACTTGATCCTTTCTTTTCTTATCTCACACTTCTCAATGTTGAAGATGAGACCATATCTTGCTGCAACTTTCCTAAGTTGATGCAGGTTTTGATCATGCTCCTCTACAGTCTTTCCATAGACTGCTGTATCATCACTGATACCAAGTGTTCCAGGACACTGTTCAAGGATCAAATCCATCTTCTCCTGAAATATGTCCTGTGATATTCTTAGTCTGAAAGGAAGTCTAAGAAACCGGTACCTTCCAAAAGGTGTATTGAATGTTGTAAGTAAACTCGAAGATTCATCAAGGGTGATGCTCCAATATCCATGCCTAGCGTCTAGTTTGCTAAACACTGTTGCTTCACTAAACTTGTGTTTTATTTCTTCCAGGGTCGGTGTCTTGTGGTAAGTTCTCTTAATGGAACGTTTTAAGTCACTAGGATCAAGACACACTCTCAACTTGCCATTTTCCTTCCTACTGAACGCAAGTGAGGACACCCAGTTACCTTAGCTATCACACCTAAAGACTCCATTCTTTCCAACTCAGATTTCAATTCATCCTTAAGTTGAATTGGATACTTTCTGGCTGGATGTATCACGGGTACAGCGTCTTCCTTCAGAGCTATATGACACTTTCCAGGAAATTGACCAATGCCTTCAAATCTGCCTGGGTATAGCTTCTGTAGGGTTTCCTTGTTAGGGATAGGTGCAGACTTCTCCACGCTATGCACTGAATTCGTGGGACAATTTGGTGTGATTAGATTCAGAGCAAGGATTGAAGGTAATCCAAGCAGAATAGGCCCTGGTGCATCTGCAACAAAGAACTCTGTGTTCAACGTACCATTTACCATCAAATCCACATGGTAAAGTAATACTACCATACTGGGGAATTTCAGTACCATTATAAGCTCTCAGCTTGACATGTCTAGCCTTTGTAGTACCAGATTTAGGGAAACCTGATGCATCAAGAAATTCTGGAAACATTCTTCTGTATACACGAAGTGGTAGTAGATTTCCTTGTGAGCCTGTATCCACTTTAACCTTTAAGGTGTGGCTGCCTTGACGGCTACACAGCTAAACATCTAGGTTTACTTTCAGTTCATCAACGTTGTCTTTGGCTACCTCATCAACAAAAGTAATAGATTCAAAATGGAAATGTTCAAACTCCTCACTCACATAGTCAATATCATGTTGTTTTTGTGAATGTTGGTATGACTTTTGCTTATGCTGAGACTGTCGTGACATATGTTCATCATTCCTACGAGACTGTCGTCCACGACTCCTTGACCTAGACTGTTGATGGCGCCTTGACTGTCTTTCGTCTATGCTGCGGTCACTCTCTTCCCTGTTGACACATTTCCTGCCAATGCCCAATTTTACCACACATTTTGCATTTACTGTTGACTGCTGGACATACTTTTCTAGATTTGAAAGAGTGTTTTGTTCCACAAAACCAGCAAACATGCTGAATCTCATCAGCTTTTAAAACCTTACCATCTAGATTCTTAAACTGGGACATATGGTTAACACTTGCTTCATGTCTCCTACCAATATCAATGGCTTCCTAGAGGGTTAATTTTTCATCACGTCCTAGCAATGTTTTCTGTACCATGGGTATAGAACACCAGCAATGAAAACTTCAATCATTCTCTCCTCTAATGCATCATTGTCTTTAAACAAACACTTCATAGCTTTTGCTTTACATCTTGTGATAAAGTCATCAATAGTCTCATTGTCCTTCTGTTTGTAACGAAGAAACTCTAATCTATGAATTCTGAAATTTTCTTCAGGTTCAATTTGAGAAGAAAACTTTTGCCATAAATTCTCGGGATTGTTTAAATTTTCATCAGTTAGATTCCATGTGTTGAACATTCTAAGACCTTCTTTGCCAGACCATAAAATAATTTAACTGTGTTGATCTTCTGGCTTGATACCTTTAATCTTAAACCAAAGTTCACTAGTTTGCTTAAATTCCTTAAAAGCTTGACCTATGTCCGGGTGTGAGCAGTCCATGCAAGGTGACGGTATTGACTCTGCCATGGTGATTTTACGATCGCGTCACAAGAAAACTTGGCGCTAAGGAGTGTGTGCTCAGTGAAAAGTTCATCAGTCACACTGAGGAAATATGCTACGGTACAATGTTCGTTCGTGAAATGTTCTGATTGTATACCAAATACTGATAGTTACTGGTTAAATGCACAAAGCTGGGAATAGTTACGGTCACAGTGACATCCATGATTCAGTCCACATGGCGCGTAGTCGAAACAGCACGCCGACTGTCAGATACATAGATACAGTTCAAAACATGTCAAAAGGCATGAACAAGATCGAGTCGGTGATGCGTAGACTTCTTTGCACCGCTGCCACCATGTAACAGTTTCTGTCCATGGCAGAACACAAGTCTTCAATTTAAACTTTTAATAAACGTGAGCAACATGGTGTCATTGACATGTGAGAGATGATAACCTACTAAAATCGTAACTCGTCCAGAAACGAACCAGATATTAATCTATGATCTAAAACGAAATAGGATCATATCACAGGTACCATGTCAGCTCAGATGGTTCACAGTGGGTCGTTACAAAGTTAGTTTAGTTGGTTTCACAGTGGGTCAGTACAACGTCAGCTCAGATGGTTCACAGTGGGTCAGTACCACGTCAGGATTAAGACTCCCCTTGAATTTCTTAGTGCTGCTGGACAACCAATTAACTGTAGTGACATATGACTTTAAAGATAGGTATTATAGTAACAATACACTGAGACATATTTTATATAATATTGCGTAACATATATCCACATTTTTAACTTGTCACAATAACTTAATAGTAAAACCATACCAATTTGACATGTTGTTGCAAATATTTCATATATTTTACTAAATGTCTGAAAGGGGAACAGAAAATACAAAAAAATAATAAAATATGTACTTAATGTGTTTGTGTAGGCATGTCACAGTCCACAATAACATGGAGGGCTATGCCACTTTATGTCAAGGTAGAAGACAGTAGCTGAGACAGTCACTGATGCATAAAGATGTTTCTGTAACACTGTAGGCATGAGTAGACTCCATTTACCATGTGTCTCGTCTGCTTGGTGGATGGGAACAGACATTTAACCTGAACAAAAATACATGGAAATATGAGTGGATGAAGTTCATGCATATGATTAGGAAGTATGAAACCACTCACTGTTCGCAAAAACAGGTGAAACTCAACAAATTATGCTTTGAATGAATCTTGTATCACCATCATTGTCATAAAGTAATGAATGAATGCTGTTCAATAATAATAAAAATAGTAAGGCTGTTCACCTATTGCTGATGCTGTGTACATGTCGTGGGGTGTAATTTCTGCCATTCCGTTGCCAGTCCAACAATTATATGCGCCCGATTTATACTTTTTTATGTGACCATGTGCTGTCTGTTTGCATGTGTTGACAAACCACCATGACGTGCCTATGATGAGGAAATAACTAACTGCCATTAGATTGTCTTGAATGACCACGGAGACTTCTTTGTCTTCTTTATATGGTCCTGCGAGCCGGATATGTAAGGATTGTGCCTAACTATGAACTTTGACAGTGATGACAATGATATTCTCGTTGAAACATGGTTGCGCTCACAAGACGGATGCCCTGTCCAGTTTTCGTCCAGGCGCAGACTACCACTTGCCTATTTGTCAGATTATGTAGGTGAGTGGATTATGAACTTGATGAAATAATGACCACATGATCAGAAATAAGTGTGGAAGTGCACATTCTACTAGTTCGTCCGTTTTGTCTTGTCAAGACTAAGTGATAAGCAAACTGCTAGACATATAGCTGTTCACATTAAGCATATGGAGGATGAAGCATCTGAAACTAGACATAAGTGAGAGACATTGAGAGGAGTATCAAGAAAGAGAAGGAAAGTAGGATGTCACAGGTTGCTAAAAAAGAAACTTAAGAGAAGCTGAGAATATGTATAAAGAAGCAAAGTTAATTTCATCAATGATTGACCGTGGTGATTGGATAAAGGAGCCAGTAGTCAGTGAGACATCCTATCCCAGGGAACTTAACACTGAGGTAACATACAGGGAACGTAACACTGAGGTAACATACCCTGCGCAGTTAACTGACCAAGGTGAACCATCCACTGATAGACATATCAAGCATGAAATTGAACATTCATATGTAGACCATAATCACACTCTCCATCCAAGTGCTGTGCTTTCACCCTACTCCTTACACAAAAGCTGTGCAGGTGTTGCAACACACACATGGTAGTGCAGGCCAACTGATTCAGAGTGAGATAAGTGCCTTGCTTAACAGTCCACCAATTAGGTTTGGAGATTATGATGCCTTTGAGAATTTTGCCTTATGTTTTCAGTCGTTTGTTGGGATGTTGAAATCCATGCAGAGTGGAGCTGAACTGTATTGTGCTTCACATGTGTCAACTCTGATCACCAAGCTTCCACATGGGATGTTTGATAACTTTACAGAGTACTGTATCAAACAGGGACTGTATGATTCTGCTTCTAATGCAACATACAACTTGACCCACCTTGACCAGTGGTTACAGCCAAAATCAAGGGCCAAGAGATTATCTCATCAAGCGGTGCCTGGGAGTGACTCCATGAAGTCTGATAAGCGAATGTCTCGATGTACAGTTTTCTCCAGCCAACAAAGTAAGGAAACAAGTTCTGCATCAACATTCTACACTCAACAAAATGCTTCAAATGGCAGACAACAGGGTCAACAAGGTCAAACCACAGTACAAGGGCTACTGTCCTAAATGTATACATCATCACATGCCCAGTGTTTAAGAAGCTTTCTGATCTGGAAGTTGAATCTTGGTTGAGAGATTGATGTTTTCGATGAGTTGCATCCTACTGCCCAAAATGATGCATGCAGACATATGACTGCACAGAAGGTGATGTTTTCAAAGACCTCTTCCTCGTCTGTACAAGCATATCTTGATCAGCCATCTAAGCCCTTTAGTACCATGTTGAAAGTTGTTGAAGTTACATTGTATGAACATGGCCGAACGGATCGTACCTCAAGAGCCAGTTAGAAGTGGACCAAGTGGGATAACCTTGCCATGAATATTCTAGAAACTGACACTCAAAGAGTGGAAGTGAATGGTGTTTATCGATAGGCAACTCCATTGTTGCGATTCAATGACACAGTGTTTGGGGCATCAAAAGAACAGATGATCCCAA